TACAGTTGAATATTTTACATATCAATAGTTTTTTATTTTAAATTCTGCATCACCAGATTTCATTTTCATTTGTGACAATTTCTCTAAACTTTATCACAGTAGGCTACTAAGATAGTATACTATTCTTAACCTACAAACATAAAACTTTCCTTAATGTCGAAGTGATTCTTTGCATATCACCACCAGAGTTCATGTCACATATACAAAAATATATTCCAGCCAATTTTCAACATTTTATTCACTGTTCTAGAAACATATTTGACTCAACTTTGTTAATTTGCCGCACCCTCTGATCTAAATAACACTGTGATGAGTCACATCCGGGACATTTACGCGCTGAGCGCGATGAAACGAGCTGAGAGTTTTTTCACAGACGCCATTTTCTTTGATTCGCGATGCAAGGCATACGATGAAGGAAAGCACATGGATTAAGTGTTTTATCGCATTTATATTTTATAACGTCTTATTGTTTTCTAACAATGTGTATGTGCTGTGCACGGCTAAACCGCTCTCAGGGGGGCATTTCCGTTGACGCGCGATGCAGATCAGACCAGGATGGGTTTGCTTTTTAACAAGAAAACGGCAAAAGTAAGTGTTTTATCTAATTTACAATGTGTATTTTATAATATATAGATATATAGCGATATTTAAATGCTTTGCGCGTTTAAACGAGCCGAAACTTTTCTCAAAGGCAACGATCTTCTTTGACTCAATACGGAGCTGACGACGAGGAGGTTTGCTTGTAACGTTAACAGGAAAAACACCGAAAGTAAGTGTTTTTAACCTAATTTACAACATGTATTTCATGGCATTATATTGTTTAATTTGTAACGATATGTATGTGATGTGTGCGCCTAAACCTTTCTCACAGACTAGGCCCACAGACGACTAGGCCTGCATCTTCTTTGAGTCGTGACGCAGTGCTGACACGGATTTTGCTTTTAACAGTAAAAACAAATAGTAAGTGTTTTAACTCATTACAATACGTGTTTTATGACAATATTTGTGATGTGCAAATATTAAAAGTATGTATTTATCCTCAAACTATCTTTTACTCTCGTTTACCAGCACACCTTGTATAAGTTAACTGAAAAACAGAAGAACAACACAGACTGCAGACCAACATTGCACGTGAAATTGTCACTTTATTTCCTTTTTTGGAGGACCAATTTTCTTAGAATGGGTAACTAATTCTTTCAGATTAAATATTTATGCAAAATGTACTTATCAGAATAACTTTTGATTGATGTGGTGGTTAGGCTTTCATGTTTAAATGTATTGATTTAGCTATTTGTGTTTGCTAGGAGCATTTCTTTGATGCACTGAGTGGCTAAGGCTAAACCAGGCTTGGTGTTTAAAGACTGTACAGACTAGAACCTGGTGATGTTAAGATTTAACAGATAACATGAGAGAATCATGGGCACAAACATAAAAAATAATCATAGCTTTGTTGTTATTTGGTATAACTAGATTTTCTGTGTTTCTTAACACTCATTTTGAATTTGTCCAGTCAAATTACTTTACAAAAGTCATTTTTATTTTTATTTTTTTTACTTAAAATTAGTTTTCAAACCAATTGTTTTCATGATTTAACAGGTAGATGTTTTCTTGCTGTTTAATTTTAGACTCCACTGATTGGGAAATATCTGCCCATCACCTGTCCAACATCACAGCCACAAAAAGGGAACACAGATTCTTCCGGCGGCTGACTATTAGTGAGATTTCTTAAGGTGGGTGTCTTAATTTATTCTTAAAGGGTAACTAAACCCCTGATCAGAGCCTGACTCCACCCACTGGCAATATTTGAAAAATGCTGGAAAAGTGGGCAGAGCCCAGCAGAGATAGAGGGGACGAGCCGAGGGCGGGGCTGAGCGGGGGGCGTGCACCTGAGACCCGCAGTGACGGATTGATTGACAGCTGCTGTCAGACTCTAAAATGGAGAGTGACGCAAGTAGCTTTGCAACAGAGCGGTCAATTGAAGTCGAGGACTTTTCTCCCCCAGCTTCACCTGAAGTGGAGGAGGGTGAATTGTCTGTGGACACAGGGCCATATCAATTCGAGCCGCTGGCTCAAACTGCGGTCTCCCGCATCGCGATCGGCATCTGATGAGTTTTGTCGAGTTGATGTCAATAGCGCGCACTCTCTGTAAGCATATTCATATTCTGTCGCTATGTGAAAAAATCCAGCAAAATGCGCCGTCGCGTTTGTCGACCCCAGAGGATTAACTTGAGCCTAACCATAAATTGTGATTAAAACATACATGCTCACTCACATCAAGACGCGACTGCGGTGGTGGAGTCCATGCAGGAGGAGCAGCGTTTGGCACTGTGTCGCTTTTCAGCGCCAGCTGTGTGGAGAAGCCCATTTCCACCTCTACTGCATTACCATCCTGACCACTGTACTAAATACAGATAAATCTAACGTTACGCTAACTTGAAGCTATCCTAACTGATGCAATACTATACTACTAACTAACTATGCTTCTAACAATACTACACTAACAACTATGCTAATTAACTACATAGGCTACACAAAATAATCTAAATAACTATATAAATGCTATGCTAAATAGATGCTAAAACACTCTATCCTGATCGTTTTAAATACTCGCAATTCCAACTCCTGACTCACAGTGGTTTTGACGAAACAAGATGGTTTTTATACTGCCAAGGGCGTGGTAGCTCGTACCAAGGGCGTGGTGAGCTGGAACCTGCTTACGTCACCAACAACCGCTTACGTCACGCAAACATCCAATAGGAAAATTCAACTGCAGTAGCCACCGTTCAACCTGAAGAGGGCAGGACTCAGACGTTTTTATACCATATATTGTAGAATTAAAACACTTTATATCCAAATGTCAAAAAAGTTACTCGAATCAATGAACAGCATTTATGAAGCTGCATTCTTACAGATCATTAACTAAAAAAAGTTGGTTTAGGGTTTAGTTACCCTTTAAAGGGTTAGTTCACCCAAAATGGAAATTCCGTCATTAATTACTCAACCTCATGTCGTTCCAAACATGTAAGAATTTCTTTCATCTTCACAACACAAATGAAGATATTTTTAATGAAATCTGAGAGCTTCCTGCCCCTCCATTGACAGTCTATGCAACTACCACTTTCAAGCCCCAGAAAGGTATAAAGGTACATCATTATGCTGCGTTCACACCAGACGCGAATAGCTCGTCAAATTCGAGTCGTAACAAATAATGCACTTTAGATATCTCAAAAGTTTAACCAAGTAGTGGCCTGGTTAAAACCAGACCATTCTCAGTTGTAACTGAGTTATGGTCTGGCAAAGCGTCATAGACAAATAATTTCCAGAGGGGCGTCACCAACGGACGTCGCGGATAGACCTAAACCCAATCAGAGCGATGAAGGAGATGACGTATGCAGAGCGGCGGAGAAACAAACATCTCCGAGTGTTGTTCTTTGCTCGGTTTTTAACAAAAAGGAAACGTTCAAATCGCTTAAAACAGACACGATAGCTGATTCGAACGAGTGATGTTCGACGGCGGCATCCAACTTTGTAATGTAAGCTACAAAATCTGCTTCAAAATCCCAGCGCTGTCGTCATCGTGTAAAGCCCGCCCCAACGTTTCTGATTGGTGCCTCGATTTCGGCGGATTGGAAATGAGCTTGAAGGAGCTCTTTGCCAGACTAACTTTCAGAGCAAATCTAAATTTGCCGGAAGTTGTCTGGGTTTTCCCAGGCTAACCAAGTATAGCTTTGTAGCTTAAATCGACATTTGCAGGGACTTCAAGTTATGGAACAATGAGACAGATTCAATTCAAAGGATTATGGAATTTAATAAAACACAAACTAAAGATTACATAGACTACTCAAGTAAATATGCATAGCAAAACAATTACACAAAATGATTGCAATACGAAGTATTGGAGAGAAAGTTGGAGAGAGCGAGAGAGAGAGAGAGAGAGAGCAGGACAGAACAGAATCTTCTCAGGACAGAACAGTTCAAAACAGTTACTTCAAAATGAGACCCCAAAGGTTTGCTCTAGACAACCTTAAACAGCATTTCTTTTAGATTGTACTTGCTTTTGATATGGCCCTTTTGTGCAGCTGGTTTGAAAAGAAGCGTGGCTTGATGTCCGAGGTTTCTTCCTGGCGGAGGTAGATGTTGCGATCGCTTAGCTACACGGAATATGATTATTCTTAAGTTCGTTTCGTTCGTAGAAAAACACTGAACAAAGGAAACTATCAAACTGAGGTAGATCAACAGAAAGAAAAACTTAGATTAAAACGAAACTTAGAAAGTAAACGAAGAAGGGTGGACCTCTCTCTGGCATAGAAACTGCACAGAACAGACGTGGCGCTCCGAGTTTTGAAGGGCAAATCTTACAAAAAAAAGGGAAAAACTTCCTTTCTTACGTGCCTGATCCAATCGTTTGGGAGGAGGCGTGGCGGCAAACTTCGCTCCGGGCAATGTACAGAGGAGATTGAACTGAATCATAAAACACTTATAGACTATTATTAATAAAAGAATGCATCATGTTGCATTTTGGGTTAAGGATTCTATACCGTTGGATTTCTCTGATCACAACAATACCACACGCTGTACTTCTGGGAGCTAGTAAGTAAACGATACATGGTTCTTTGTGTTTAAACGCATGTCAAGTTTGATTACATATCATAATGCCGATGGTTATGGCCATTTGTCACAAAAGGGGATCGTGAAAACCCAACAAGACAACATTTTATACATTTCACAAGGTACTTTGAGGCACGTGATCCCGAATGAGTGTTCCTGTGTGTGTGTGTGTGTGTGTGTGTATGTGTCTCAGAGTTCAATCGGCGTTTGGAGGAGTGGTGAACTTCTTCAATGCACTCAGCCCTAAATTTTAAGGTCACAAATGTACCTCACATAATTCCTGAGTTCCAATGTACCAGAGGAGGGATTTGTAGGGCTGAGTGCATTGAAGAAGTGTCTCCATTGGCATAGTAGCACAGATTAATGATGACAATTGTCAAGGATGCTAAGAAGATGCACAGAACACCTACTCCCATCAGGTGTAGGCTTAGTCAGATGCAAAACAATGTGGACACACTTGTCAGGAACTCTGTCCATAGAGCAAGGTTTATGTCCATCGTTGGCTTTGGCAAGCCCAACACGATCTCTAGTGTATGTGGTGGTCTGTTCCTCCTCATGGCATCTTCAACTCTCTGCTGTTCATGTCCCACAGGAACAAGATCTCTAGTGTCTGTGGTGGTCTGTTCCTCCTCATGGCATCTTCAACTCTCTGCTGTTCATGTCCCACAGGAACAAGATCTCTAGTGTCTGTGGTGGTCTGTTCCTCCTCATGGCATCTTCCACTCTCTGCTGTTCATGTCCCACAGGAACAAGATCTCTAGTGTCTGTGGTGGTCTGTTCCTCCTCATGGCATCTTCAACTCTCTGCTGTTCATGTCCCACAGGAACAAGATCTCTAGTGTCTGTGGTGGTCTGTTCCTCCTCATGGCATCTTCAACTCTCTGCTGTTCATGTCCCACAGGAACAAGATCTCTAGTGTCTGTGGTGGTCTGTTCCTCCTCATGGCATCTTCAACTCTCTGCTGTTCATGTCCCACAGGAAAAAGATCTCTAGTGTCTGTGGTGGTCTGTTCCTTATCATCTGCAAACCAAGTATGCAAAGGTTACAACGTTTAAGGGAGTATCAACATGTAGTAGTTAAGTTGTTAGGCATTGTGGTATTCCACATAATAACTCGATCTCTGATGACAACAGAGATGGCGTATTTTGATTGAATAATGAGATTATTGCTGTAGGGTCTGGACCAATCAGACACACACTAATTATTCATATTCATTATATTTAATGAATATAAAGGTCTATGAAACTCTCCCCCAAAACTAACCTCACAAATGAAGTTACTTTGTCAGCCGGGTGTCCGGTTACAGAACACTTTAAGACTGATAACAGACTTTTACGACGTCAAAGGCCACATGCTTAAGAGAGAGAGACAATCTTTAATTAAATAAACTTTGCGGTATTACTCTGATCAATGAAGGAACATGCCGTGATGATTTACTGTCTCGTGTACTATTATGTATAACAACATGGTATGTTTGATCGGGGTGTATGTGGTTGTACAACCACCCAACGGTCAATATAACCTCACCTGATTCATGCTTCCTACCTAATTAATCCTCATTTAAAGACACACACTTTGATGTACATCACCTTCTCTTAGAATGCAATGTGAATTTGTCTATTTGAGCTTGAATGAACAGTCTAAGCACGCTGGGGACAAAGACCATAAATCAACTAAGAGCCGCTTCCCCTCTCGGACATGTCACCTCACTCATTGGTCCATTCAAACCTTAGAGGTTGGTTCTCAGGCTATATCAGAGGCAGGCAACAGTGACCGCCCTCTCTTGGTAGTTTTCATCCTGCTGCAAACACTGTTTCGGGTGATACGGGGGAACCCCCTCCATGGGGGCCCAGAGGCCTCCCAGCAGGCCTGATTCCCAACCGGATCCGGCCTCATGGAAGAGAGAGGACACTCTCTCACAAAGAACCAAGGACAATCTCAGGAGTTTGTAACAAAGACTCTAACCCACCATGCAAGTTCATCATATCTTCTTCATCCAACAAAGAAGAAAATGATTGAGACTTCAACATCCGACACTTGCAGAATCATCAACAACTTCAGTTTTCAACAACTTTGATAATAGTGTACGCTACCCAGGCATGCAAGTATACTTTTGATTTGATGCTTTGAAAATGAAATGCTGATGTTCTTCTCATATAGTTACATGGAACTTCTCAATAGTTCCGTTTTCGGTTTCGTTTCCGTTTTCGTTCTATCACTCACCTATTTATGTATTCATGTGTGTATGTTGTTTAGTTTATTTATATTCATATAAATATCTATATTTAGTTAATAAAACATGTACATAATATGTATTTGGTTCTGTTTCGTTTGCAATACAAAGTCACTTTTACGGTCGCGTTTTTTTGCTACTTGCTCAAAGTGCTGTACATGCTAAGATATAATTATTCTTCTGTGGCCATGGAAGATACCCTTTTCTTAGAATAAATTAATAATCAAAAGAGTTCGTTGGACAAACTGATTAATTGATTGTAATATTAATTCAGCCACATCAAGTTAATCCAATTAACTGACCCAAATATTCATAATTAATAATAACAAGTTATTGATCATTAATATTTCCAAAAAACTGAGTTCCTTACATTGCTCAGGATATAATGAAGGAAAAATAGCATGAAAACAACACCTTAGACTGTGACAAGGTGTAGAAAAAAGAAACAAAAGAAAAGAAAATGGGAAAAGAATGCGGTGGATATGAAGTGACCAAATAAAATCAGTTGACTATCAAGAAACTGTAGTACATGATTTGAGATACGGGGTTCCCGTGTCTTTAAAAGGGCAAACATGGAAATGGTGTCAAAAAGAAAAGTTTTAGAATCTCTAGTACTGTTACATGAAACATAAATAAATTGCCTTAAAGAAAATCGTTCCAATAAGGAAACAATTCAGATTATGTGCGGTTACAGCAAGAGGAGGAATTTGATTTAACTCTGTGTAGAGAGACACATGTGTGACTGTATTTAGCTGTGTGTTTGTGTGACCATGCTCCAAGCTAAGGTGACAAAGGTTTGCTGTTGACAATTGTACTTGTTGCTGCAACAGGGAGCCATGAACATCTTTGTTTAGTGAGATAGGGAATGATACTTGTGACCAGGTTGTAATTGGGCTCAAATTACTTTTCACCTAGGTTTGTTTACTAGAGCATGGTTAAAGACAAAGTTGTGAGAAAATCATCTACATAGTTAACCCTCTGGGGACCAGAAACGCGCCCGCGCGTTTTGCTCGTTTTTTTTTTTAGCAATGCAAAATAAACTCAAACTGCTCTGTTAATTTTGATCTTTCATGTTCGTGTTATACATCAATCGATCCTGTTCAGTTTCTATTTTTTTTCTGTATACTCAAAATAAAAATAAAGTGTTTTGCTTTTTGCCAAATAAAGAAAAATGAACATGATGCGAGTTCTTCACTCTCTCTGTCAGCGAACTCCAATTTGAAACGCGTTCGGAAATGATCTGTAACTCCACGAAAATTCAGTCAAACAGGCAAACATACCCACGGGCATAAAGCTAGAGATCGCATCTTTTAAATGAAGTCATTTATATTAAAAACAAATATTCTCAGCTTCTGTAATCTGTATGAAAATAGAGCGATTCCAGTCGAGCTCATTCACTTTAATTCGTTCACGCCTACTCCCGGAGCGCGCTATTCACAAGATAATGTGTTAAGCCATCTATGGAAAACAGGTAAACGCCCCCAAGCAAATGCATTAAAGGCTTCAAGTTTCATCATTCAGTTCACCTGCGCGTCAGGAAGATGGCACGATACACCGGTGTATAAGCTCTTCAGCTCGTCCTGGATACTAGAATCCACATTTTCATCAGAAGAAGAGCGCGACTCTGATGACGACCGTTTGATCGAGCCGTGGATAGAATTTCGTATGAGTAAGTATTTAGTCTTACTTCCATTAGTTGACAAGCTATTCAATATAAACATGTAGCTTACACATTATACTGGGTGGACTATTTTCCACTTGCCATCCAGAGTATTGACATTTGATATATATTCAACACGATCTAATGAAAGTGCATATCTATACCATGAATTTAATATCTCGTGTTAAAGAGAAAAAGTTTTTTTTTTTTTTAAGTGCATGCTACGCACTGTAAACCCCAGTTATGAAATTTGTATGTGTAAATGATATGTTTAGATCATTGTGTATGAAAGCTAGAATGTAGAAGTTATTTTAGAAAATAGGCCTACTAGATGTTTAGATTATATTTTGACTAGTTTAAATGCTGCCTCGTTATTATCATTGACTATGCATGCTCGCAAATATCAGTTGTAAATGTGCTGAAATGTGTAAATATACCCAGTTAATGAATTGCGCAAATGTGTTTTGTTTGCGGTGTGCCTCTCCGGCAATGGCCCATTGACACGCATATTTATTGCACTCGCCTAAAATTATTTACATCAGTTATTAATTATAGACTAATGCTGCTATGGTTATATTTATGTAATAATATTCCTCAACTTAAAAAAAAAAGAAGGAATGTAGCTTCATCACTACCTCCGCCTGCAACTCGGAGTGCGCTTAGCAACACAGTCAGAAATCAGAAAGAGTAAGTACATATTTACCTACAATTTCACAGATGTTAGTTCAATTTTGTTTATACTTAGTGTTAATACAATATGAGCCTGTATGACTTCACAATTGCTTTGTTTATAGCCGACTGATTATTTATTTATTTTACTCGCATTTGATTTGCTTAGAGCAAATTTAGAACATTTAGTTTCTCCACATAGAGGAATTACAATAAAACAGATTGAAAAACCTTTGAATCTCCTCTCATTCTTTGTTCAGGCTGCCTCACTTGATGGGCCATTAGCCATTGGGAGAGTGTCTGTCACACCCCTGGTCTGAATCTCATTAATATTGATAGGCCATTACCACTCCCACGCATAAACCTCTTCTGACCAAAAAACTGTCATACAAAGTATGAATTCATGTTTTGCTTTATGTGAACAATTAGGCAGGATGATTTTTAACATCATTTTGAAGCCAGAACTCGAAGCGACAACATCCATTAGTCAAAAGTCTTGTGGACACATATTTAGTGTGTGTTTTGTGGTCTTATTTCAGCAACTTTCATTTTTATTTTTTTCAATAACCACGCATAAACATTATTCTCTTAAAAATACAAACATGTACATACATGTTGCTAACATATCATGGTAGCCCCGTTTGTGCTATATAGAGTGAATTTACACCTTTGCCATTAACATGTTTATAAATAACTGAAAAAAGCACAAATGTCAGTGCATGTCAAAACATCCCAAGGGCCCCAAAAACACCTTGGTCCCCAGAGGGTTAATAAACATATTAAAGCCGTGTGGCGTTTCTGTGCTCCTGTGTATGGTTTAACTCCAGCTATATGGGAAATAGCAGAGTGTGTCACTAAAGAGACAAACACATGTAAAACATGTCAATTGAAACTGATTAACAATTCCAGTATTACAATTATTAGTTTTTAACACAAGACATTTGGTCTAGTATGCATGTAGCATCTACAACCCCTAACCCAAGTGTTTTTATGGAATAAACTCAATCTATGTGCATACATAACACAAACAACTATTGTGTGCTTTATTAAAACAACAATGTTATGCACAAATACAATTTTGAAAATGCAGACAGGTTCAATTAAATTAAGATGTTAAACTATTAAGCTATTTGCTACTGGACTGCTAGCCGACTAGCAAATGACGCTAATAGCTGAAGGCCTTGAGTGACCAAAGTTGTTAGCTTTTCTAGTTAGTTTTAGATGCATTGATGCATATTTTCCTCTGTATGGCCTGTTTTGTGACAGGAATTACAGAATCTGTTCAGTTTGGCACAGTGAGGCTTTCACAGCTACCTCACCATGTATTTGCGTGACTCAATTTTTGTTACCCAGCTGACAATCCCTTTGAATGTATTTTGTGCTGGAGAAGCACCACACATGAGTGATTGCTGTACACACGGCCCTTCATTTGTAAGCAGGAATTCAAGGACAAATATA